ACATTTTATGCGGCTCTAATAAGAAATAGATTTACATTTAGTACTTTTTACATTTATTTTTATTGATATTAAAATAGTTTCCGAAAACTGTTCTTATAAAATTATTCAAGTTTTAGCTTTTGCGACGCCGAGAAATTTTCATTCATTTGAAATATATTAAGTTTCCAAAATATCTATAAATATAATGAGTAACCTGGAGGGTTTGACGTTGATTTACTGTTGAAGTTTCCACGTCAACAGAAGAAGAAAAAATAGGCGTAAAAATCGTACATCAATGAGTTAATATTTTTTAACAATAAGTCTCTAGTCCTCTGATTATGAACATATAATATTGATAGTAACTTTCTGAATCTTGTGACGTGTTTATTATTTCTTAAAACAGCTGTTTTACATGAGGATGACTTCACGTAGTGTAAGTTGATTACATTTACAAGTTACAGTTTGGAAATTGGTTTGAATATAGTCTGTATTACTATTAGTCGTGACTCATTGAGTCATTCACATTACTTATTACTATTAGACTTACTTAGCTTACTGTATGTTTTTGATTAAATTTGGTAGTTCATTTTAAAGTGTACCAAATAAAATGTTGCGCTCACTTTCAGCCGAAATTAGCTTTAAAATCACCAGCTCTATTTTATTTATTATAGTACTGCTTAGTGAGTGCAATTTACAATTTTTCTCATAACCTAAATGATGAGGTGTTCTTTTGGCCTAACAATAACATATTGATAAATTTTATATGCTGGTGGTCAGAAAACAATACCAATACGTTAAAATAATTGGATGTTTTTTGGTGTGTTATTTCAGTCTAATATTTATTTATGATTTAACACTATCAGATTAAAAGTCAATATGTATTGTGTATCAGAAACTTATCAGCAATTTTCAGTTTTTCATTACAAGGACCCTGCTATCTAATATAAGCTAACAAGTTGTATGTTACAACAGAACTTGTGCTTCTTGCAAAATTATATTATTTTTATAAACAATACTGCAGAATTATTGTAATACAGAATATGTTTCATAGAGTTCATCAGGGTTCCCTTTCTTTCTTTAAATTGGGAAATATTTGGAATGTCATTTAATACTATCTTGCCTAAAACGTTTTTGATAAATTTGGGAAATGTGCATAGGATTTGGTAAAGGAAATATTTATGAATTTGAAATGTTGTGTTCATTTACTTACCAAGGTAATTTCTTCTTCTCATTGATCATCTAAGCATCGTTTAGCATCATTATTTCTCTATATAATACCTATAATTGTATTGTATCTAAGCAATCAATTTATATTCTATATTCATCATAATTCTATATGTTTAATAACTTTAATACCAGATGTAAGTTATTGTTATGAATGTTACCTAGATACCTATTTTAAAGCAGTGTTCTACAGTTTAAAGAATTTTTATTGCTAGGTATATTGTTGCCCTATGAAGGCTCTGTCTGGTAAGAGGGCTGAAAGCTCGAAAATAAAAGTACTTTAACGAAGAAAAAGTCCGTGTATAATTCTACACATTTAGCTTAGGTTGCAACATTGTGCACCATTTGTAGATTGCATGATGCATTCCATCAACCTCAGTACAGCTTCATCCAATCAGAAAGCACCATACAATAAAAACTATGTGAAATAGAACTTTGCACAACACAAGCACATCAAAGTAAACAAATCAACATTTCAGGCACATGGTCAAAAGACATCTTGTAACGTGTTTTAATTGGCAAAGAACAAAGCTAGACAACACAATTACATATTTTCTGAAATTATTTGGTCATAAAAAATTTTTAAATGGTAAATGTATCCATTTTTCTCCTTTCCTGAGATTAATGTCTGTCAGTTACCATGTGTTTAGAGTAATGCTTGATACCTGTCAGAATCCTTATCAGAACATAGGAGAGAAGGAGGTTAGAAGATCATTGATTGAAATATTATGTTTTTATAGAAAACAGTGTTAAATTAAAAGAATATATAAAACTCAAACAGTTCTTGAAATTCTTGAAAATTTTTGAAATAATTTTTAATATTTTTTGCTTAAAGTGCAGAAACCCTGGTTGATTTTAAAAGATGTGTTCAAAGATTTAAACTCTGTTCTCATGTAATTATTGTTTTCATGTAATATACTTATAAAGTTTACATATAATTGTGGTTATTTCATGGATAAATGTAACTGAAATGTTTTTATCTGTTGGGTTTATTGTTATAGTCTCTGATGGAAGCTGCAGATGATTTTTCTATAGAATTTGACAGGGGAGAACTTGAAACCCAAAAGAAAATTTTCAAGCAAGTATTTTGTGATTTTTTTGTATTGTATGAACAACAATAATTTTTCATAATTAGAAGTAGAAATTAAAGGTGTAGATGTACGAGTATTGTATTGTGAAGTTGTGATACAATTGTATCGACACATTGTCCAATACAATATGATTTATGTATCTTCATGAAATTTAGCAGGCATTCAGTAAACATTATAAGTTTTTTGTAGAGAAAAAAAATCAGAATTTCTAATAAAGTATTTTTGCTAAAAATTAATGATTCAGTAAAAGAAGATGAGTATTGAGTACCACATGTTGTCTTCATTTCTTTTCTCTAAAACATTACCTGCAAAGTAACATAAC